AAAAAAAAAAACATTATAGAAGTTATAACTTAATTTGAATGTTATTGGTTGAAACATGTGCTTGACCCACAAGCCCCTCAGTGCAGTGAAGAATCCTCTTCACCCTCTGCAGGAAAGCAGCCCACGGCATGTTTACCAGCCTCCGTGATTGGCTGTTCCGTCTCACGCCATTAAAATCTAAGTACCATAAAAATCAGAGTCTGTTCATTTCTTTGTAAGAGAGCAAACCAGATGTTAGACTCAGCGCTGACCTGTCCCACACAAACACAGTTTTTGCCGCACATTTATTCTGTTAGGACCTGATCGCCGCAGCTACACCGTGTGTGTGCGTTTCGGCGCGTTTTAAACGAGAAAGTCTGTAGGCTGAACAAAAACAAAAACCCGGAAGTGACCACAGATCCTTAAAGCGAAAACCAGAGCAGACAGCGTTGCTAACTCCGTGTCCTAAAATACTTCACCCGGATTTCCCGGGATAAAGCGTGGCTAACAGAAGCTTCAAATAGTCCGTATGTTTTAGAAAATGACTCACTTTGATCCTCCACCCGTTCCAAACGGCCAGATGCTCTTGTCAGATTCCCGCTAATGGGGCTTGTAGGCGCCTGCTGATGACGTCATTTGCACTTGCCGCTTTTCCTTTCCGTTTCATTCGTCGTTGGTTTCACTCAGTGACTGTAAAAGTCATTGGTTTCATCTATTAATTAAATAAAAATTGAGTGGTTTTATTTATTTATTCCCCCTGTGACAGTTTGATGGTTTATTATGCCGAGAAAATTATTTTTATTTAACAAATTCGCCGGAATAATATTGTTCATTAGTTTATGTGTAAAAGGACCTAATTGGCATAATTACTAATGAACAGAAATATGAACGTTTGATAAAGAGATAAATAATCATACTGATATAACTCATGATTATATGATAAAATTCATGACGCACACAGGAGGACAGGCGTGAGAAACTACTGAAATTTATTCTACAGCCTAGCATATTTAAAATGAAACTAACAGGAATTTCAGAAATCCAAGAGAAGCTTCATACTTTATTCAATTAAATTGATATTTCTTTCAGACCTCTGCAACTGTTGACTTTTCTTCGGCTGTTAGCTTCTGTGATTGGTAGGAAGAGCACATGTGTAATTTTGAAATGAGCTTATTAACTTATCAAAAGCCTTTTTATAATAAGTTAAAAAGTCTTCTCGCCATCCATTGGAAAGTGTACCAGCCTCTGTATGAGATAAATATAAGTGTCCATATTAAAGACGAAGCTACAGACCCTTTCATCCAACTATGAATATCTCCATGTAATCCTCTGGATGAGGAAAAATCACTTTCGTTATTCTTACTTTTTAAAATTATAATTAAAGTCCCATGTTTATTGTTGCGCCAGTCTGATATTTGAGAACATAAAATTTCTGGAAAAAGGTGCATCAGTCTTAGAAATTCTTGATTTGAACAGTTTCAAAAGTAAAATACTTTATGTACTTTTAATTCATCACCATTTTTAATGATCATCTTAGGCTTTTTATTTACCTAAACGTTGTACTACATGAGATTTTAGAGTTTTATTGAATAAAATATGCAAGTCACAGTAATTGACGTGTGAACAAGAAGCACAAACGTCCACCGAGGCATCTCTCTCTCTCTCTGAGCAGTGATATACTGTTAAGGGAATAATATTCTATTTTTATATAAACATGTAAGAGTGGATAACTTTGTAAACAACCGGACATGAATAACTTGAGGTTATTACATAATAGCAGAGTTCTCTCTCTTCCTCTTGAAAATACTTTCCTTAAAGATTTTGCACATTTTAGGATCAATAAAGGCAGAAATGTAAAACAGAGGTCAGAGGTCAAATGTGAGATGATATTAGGATGCAGCTATGATGTGAAAGTCACCATATACCGGTATCCTTTCCTCAATGTAGCCAGTACGAACAAACAAGCAGAATCTTAAGCACAGTTTTAAAGATAAAAAATGTTTTGTGAAAGTTTGACCTTATTTAACCTGGAAGAAGAAGTCAGAGGTCCAAAGTACCACAATATTTACAATCCACATGTACGATTCCCTATTTTTATCCACTTCCTTGTTATTGTTGTCAATATGAACAATGGAAAAGAGAAGCTTAAAATAGCACTATACAGCATTATTATCATTTTGACCTTCAGATCGATCCACTGACCTTGAAGGAGACGTCAAATGTGGCATATTTCACATGTTTTATGTTACTTTGTAGATTTTGATGATACATATCACACTCTTAGGAAAAATTGGGGTTTTTTTTGGCCATTTTCCACCAATAACTCCTAGAGATGACCTTGAAGACGCTGGTGGATGGAAGCTGAATTTCAATGGACCGTTAACATGACGCCATCTGCAGGATCTGAATTTATTCAAAAGTCTTTGTGTTTTCAGATGGGAAGACACACAAACACTGCCGGAAGCAGAACCTCCTCAGCAGAGGTAAGGAAGACTTTGCAGCAGTGAAGGACCCTCAGGTGTACTATTGCAGTGTAGTATTTTTACTTTGGACAGTGTTAAGAAATCACATCTTTCGCTCTGCGAACACCAGAGGGCGCTGTATCCCCTGTTTCAACCTTACCTGTGAATACACCTGCGGCAGATTTTTATAAGCTACAAAAATATAAAACAGTGGTTTAAAGTGCGCCATATGACTAAAGCAAAGAGTTTATGGACATGTGAAGGGGTGACTGTGATAAATTATTTACAGGAATAACTGTTCTTCTCGTTTCCGCTCAGCTCTGAGAGACAAAGTCCACAGAGAGAGAGACGCGCTTAGACAGACACACAGACAGACAGCTGACAGTCGCACCCTCCTGTCCCTGGACAGCAGCGGTGTGAGGTGGTGAGGTTGCCCGGCTGTGTACTCGGGCCATGCGGGGTCAGCGGGATGGAGGAAAAGCCCAGAGAGTCTCCGTTCAAGAACTTCGTGGCTGGGGGTGTCGGAGGAGCGTGTCTGCTGCTGGCCGGACACCCACTGGACACCATCAAGGTGAGAGCTGCAGCCCGACCCGAGCTTCAACACAGCTGATTTAGACCTTTAGACAGAAACATTTAGTCCACGTCCACGTGTGTGTGTGTGTGTGTGTGTGTGTGTGTGTGTGTGTGTGTGTGTGTGTGTGTGTGTGTGTGTGTGTGTGTGTGTGTGTGTGTGTCGGGGGGGTAATGTTTCTGAAGAAGTCACGGGAAATGTCAGATCGTGGTGCTAAAGAGATTACCGACAAATCAGCTTAAACTGTTGCCGGGGCGGCCACCTGAACACGGAGTAATGAGGCTGCTTAGAGCCAGCGGGAGACTGTCGAGGAAATGTCACAGCGTGGGTACAAAGTGTGCAGCTCAAACTCCCGAAGTTAAAATCAGATTTCTGACGAAAACAAAGTAAAGCCATGAAGCATCACATGTATTGAACACATCACAATAGAAACGTCTCATTACTCTCACTGTCGCATTTTCACCTTTTCTAAAACGTTCAAGGTTCTTTATTATTTGTCACATGCATAGTTATAGAAGTATAACACACAGTGAAATGTATAACTTAGTTTTTTAAAGTAATAACTGCTTATGATTTTTATAACTTTATTATTCACATAATTGTGCATACTCTGTCAGTGCGCCCCAGGGCAGCTGTGGCTACAATGTAGCTTGCCATTGCCAGTGTGTGAATGTGTGTGTGAATGTGTGTGTGAATGTGTGTGTGAATGGGTGAATGACTGAATGTAGTGTAATGCGCTTTGGGGTCCTTAGGGACTGAGTAAAGCGCTATACAAATGCAGGCCATTTACCATATAGTAACTTTGAATGTGCAGAAATTTAATGTAAATGCTAAATACCAACAACCTATCGTTACAACATGGGCATTATTTTTAATCCAGATCTTTTTGTAGTCTATCTAAACCACGTCTGTGTGTTTGTGTGCGACACACTGAGTCTTTGTGAAGAAACAGTTTGATCACAGCATCGCAGTAACCGTCACATGAGCGCAGCACCGCCCTGTTTATCAGTGACAGAGCAGCAGATGTTAGTGGGTGTCTCCTCCTGTCTGACAGCACTCAGCAATCCTCCTGCATGGTCATTGTGTGTGTTTGTGCGTGTGTGTAATTCTTCTTATTTAAACTGTGTGTTTCAGGTGAGACTACAAACACAGCCCAAAGCCGCTCAGTATGTGCTTTACACAGGAACCTATGACTGCTTACGCAAGACCGTATCCAAAGAGGTGAGCGCTTTCTGCAGGACAGTCACACAGGCCACAGCCACTCAGCTCTGTTTTCAACATGTGACACATCAACTGAAGTATAGGCACTTTAATTAAAAACTAGAAACTCATTTAAAATCATTTGTGTGTGTGTGTGTGTGTGTGTGTGTGTGTGTGAATACATTTGATGTGATGGGCACGTCAGGGCATCCTTGGTCTCTATAAAGGCATGGGGGCGCCCCTGGCAGGTGTGGC